GTGTGTGTGTGTGTGTGTGTGTGTGTCGTGTGTGTGTGTGTGTGTGTGTGTGTGTGTGTGTGTCAGTATGTTTGTGTGTGTGTGTTAGTATAGCTATGTGTATGTGTGTATCCATATCATATATATATATTTAGTTGTGTGTTTATTACTATGTATGTGTTTGTTTGTGTGTGAGTGTAACATAATAAAAAATTGGGCATATGTATTTGCGCGTACGTGTGTCTATGTGTGTCATATACACAGCCAACATCAAAGTTAGAAATAATTTTCTCCCAGTCGACTTACCATTCATATTGCCAACGTACGCATGTGGATCAATCAGCTCCAGTCCTACAGGCACCATCGTACCTTCGTGTACTTGAAACTTACGCCTGGCTTCCAGCGTACTTGTTCTATACTTAAAGAATCGCTGCCTATCAAACGGGAATTCTATCATCTTAGGGTCCAACGGTATATCAGGCACCGTAGACTTGTACTTATCATTGCAATTTAAATCTGATGCATAAACCATTTCAGATGGTCGCTTCTTTTCCCTGTCTGCCGCTCCTTCCGGTCCCTTTGACTGTTGTTGAGACTGCTCATGAGCTGCGTTCTCATGCCGTTTATCTGTATCCTGTTTCTCGTTTGGACGTGTGTAGGGTGTAGCGCGTTTCCATGACGACACATTGTTTTGACTGTCCTGTGATCCCTGCGAGTGCTGGTGAGAGTGCACGGTCCTGTCTCTATCTGCGCTCGACGGTTGCCCGTTAGGTATAGTCGCCATTTTGTTTGATTGTGTTATTCACATACACGCACCGTTGCTAAATATTTATGTGTATATCCACAAACACTTATACCGATAGAACTGTTTCAAGACAGTTCTCCTTGGATGTGATATTTAAACTATGTTGTTTGCACACATGGGCGTGTAGGTCTGTGCAGCCTTACGTACACGGCAACAAACTAGGCGTCTAGATGGTCGCATGTAGGGATCACTTCTAGACCCTGTGCATAGGCTATTGTGTGTATGTGAGGTTGTCCACTACTATCATATAGAAATAGATAGTGGGTATATATAGTACACACTACAGGATATATACATAATATTTACACATATATATCTTCAGTGTGTAGCCTTTGTGTCGCTTCCTCGCCATAAATACATATGTACCGCTAACCGGGTTGAAACTACCGGGTTTGTATACTTTTTCAGAAAAAAATCGGAAATTAATAAATGCTCCAATGACACCGCTCTCTCCAAACGGTCAGTCAGAGCCTTCACTGACTCCTTCAGGGGCTTCAGTTTACCGAGCGATGGTCTGTATAATATACATGTATATATATATATATATATATCTGTCTATATAATATATACTATATAGACATATCTGTATATATCTGTATATATCTGTATATATCTGTATATATCTGTATATATCTGTATATATCTGTATATATCTGTATATATCTGTATATATCTGTATATATCTGTATATATCTGTATATATCTGTATATATCTGTATATATCTGTATATATCTGTATATATCTGTATATATCTGTATATATCTGTATATATCTGTATATATCTGTATATATCTGTATATATCTGTATATATCTGTATATATCTGTATATATCTGTATATATCTGTATATATCTGTATATTA